GGCAAGCTGGGCATGGTAGTGCACACCTGTAATCCCAGCACTGGGAGGCTGAGGCAGAAGGATCATTTTGCAAGTTCAAGACCAGCTCAAGACTTGAGCTACAAAGTGAGCTCAAGGACAGCCTGAACTGCATAGCGAGACCCTGTCTCAAAAACACACACACAAAAAAAAAAAAGAAAAAGAAAAAATAAGATCCTACTAAGAGGAAACACACAATGGGCATATAACAAATGCTATTAACTGATTAATGAAGAGGTGATACCACATGTGACTAAGACTCCAGGCTTTCAGGTCACTGGACGGGCTTTTAATGTACTACCTATGCAACAGCTTCTCTGAGTTGTAGCTACTAGCAAAAGGTAGAACTGTAAGTCCTCATGTCACAGCATTACTATGAATGTAACATAAAATGCTAATTTTATGTGAAGAACTTAGCACTAACCTGGATGACAGTGAGAAAGGTTTGCTTATGCTATTCATTGTCTTGAAGAAAAACAATGCTCACACACTCCTCTCTCCAGTCACAAAGGAGAGCGCAGGGCGGTGAGTTAGGAGACCTCCTCCAACCCGCTGCTCTCCTTACCTCCCCTTGCCTCCAGCAAGCAGCTTTCCTCAACTACACCCTTAAGGAAGACGGGCATCTCTCCCAGCCTTTTGTCTAAGATCAAGGGTAAAGACAGAGCAGATCACTGTTTCCTAGGTGTGGAATTTGGCTGAGGATGAATAATACTGAATCATAACATAAAAAGTTCCCTTTTCAAATTCTCTTTCAACTTTTCTGATCATGAGAAGGGGAAGTGCTATTTGATGTTAGTTGTGTCCTTTTAACACCTCTCTCATACTTGCTAATCTCTTGAATAAAGAGAAATTATGGGGGGGGCATGGAAATTGGGCTTAGACGCTTCTGTGATGGCCACAGAATTAACACAGGATTTGATAATGTTGCTTTGTTTGTGCTGTATTTATTTCTGTAATTACCTTAAATTATGGCAAGTGGTGTTGATTTTTACACATAATAGCAATTCAACCTTTAAAAATATACTTACGAGCCACAGGTGGTGGCAGACACCTGTAATCCCCGCACTCTGGCAAACTGAGGCCGGAGGATTACAAGTTTGAGCCCAGCCTGGGCAACACAGTGATTTAGCAAGACCCTGTCCCAAAATAAGAAATAAAAATGGCTGGGGATGCAGCTCAGTGTGAAGGTGGTGGGTTCACTCCCCAGTACCAAAAGAATAGAAATAAAAATAAATGTATTTATACCCCTTAAAAATGGGGAGAATAACTTAAAGGGGGCATAAAGTATGAGGCTATGGTCAAACACCCCAGGCCCTTCTTACTAGGTTCCCCTCCACCTTCCCCTCCTCCCGGGGCCTCTTCCAATACAGCAGCCTGGCTAAAAGTCACCCCCTCCGCTGAGCTCCCAGGTCACGCCCTACAGCCGCGCACCACAGCATTACTCTCCCTCTAAAACTCTGACACAGAAACTAGGCCTTGCCATTTCACCCCCCCAGTGTCTGCCATGACATTCTTTCTGGTATAGAACTGGTGCTTGGCAGGGCAGTGGTGCACACCTGTAATCCCAGTATGTGGGAAGCTGAGGCAAGAGGATTGCCTAGAGTTCAAGGCCAGCCTGGGCAGAGCAAAATCTTGCCTAAAAAAAAAAAAAAAAACAAAACAAACCCTCATAAATAAATAAATAAATAAATAAAAACGTGCTTGATTAATATATGCTGAAAAAAAAAAATGAAGCAATGTTTCTACTTTTGTTGAATGAGACAATGAGATAGTGAAGAAAAACATTGCCAAAGACTCATTTGCCTTAATTCCAATCTAGTGCCTTCCAGCACTTCTACTAGATGGCAGAATACTCACCTTTCTGACAGTGGCTTCAAGTATGAAGTTCAATGAGAACCAGTTAACCCATCTAAAGAAATCTCACCACATGAAATGTTTTGAAAAGCAGACCTTTATTTAAGAAATTTACCAAAATCAAGAAGAAGTCAGTCACCCCGGTATAAAGCCAATTATAAAGGTACTTTTGACTTCTGCTACATAAAGCAGAACTGGGTAAATACCTGAGAACATTCCTTCCCTATCGGTCTAGCGGCAGGATGTAATAATGCCAGAAAATCTTGGGATGGAAAGATAAGGAGAGGCCTCACTAATTGAGGTCTCAGTTTTGTCATAAATGACATATCAATATCAAAGTGCTTTATCATATGAAAATAGTACCGCCGTTAAGGGGCCAGTGGTAGGAAAACAGTAAGAAAGGCCTATTTGAAACTTAAAGATTGCTCCCACTAAAATAGAGCTTTCTCTATTACACTCATCACGCTATTTGGGACCTTCAGCCTACACCTGATAGGGAGACAGGAAGAACCCTTAAACCACACAGGAAATAGTATTATTTCACCTAGAATAACTCTGCCAACAAAAAGGTACAGAGTAGCTGCTCTAAATACTCTCTGCAGGTTCTTCTTAAAAGTATAAATTAAAGTCCAGCATGGCTCCTTATTCCCACATTTGTCTGCTATTCTACCTCCGTTATTAATACTATAATGTAGGTGCCCCACTCAGGCAAGATTAAGTCCCCGTTCCCAAAGCCTTCTGCTGACACTGCAATGATCTATTTCAAAGCTGTCAAGGCAGGTACAGATACTGCTCTCAAAAATATGCCAGTGAGGAGAGGAGGCCTGAGCTTCCAACTTAACAGGAGAGAAAAGGAAGTTGGGTCAGGCCTGTCTCAGATTGCTACAGCCCCATAGTTAAGAGCTCAGACACCCAGTTCAGTTCCAGCTCTTTCACATCCCAGATGTGAGACCGAGCAATTCACCAACCGCCTCAGGAGACCATTCCACCATCACTTAGACAGTGGTGACAAGAGAACCTGAAAATACTGCAATGCACTGAACACAGCAACATGGAAGGGAGAACTACAGCAAGGAAAAAGGCTATCACCATCTTGCTCGTCACCTCTAGACCCTGCTAAGGCAAGCAAGGAGGGACCCTGACACCGTTTCAACCTAACCAAGTAGCCGCTACCAAGGTACAAAAAAGATGGTGTAACCCAGCACTTTCACCCCCACGATGTCTGCTATGACATTTTTTCTGGAATAAAACTGGTGCTTGGCTGGCTAAGGCAGGAAGACTGCTGTGAGTTGAAGGCCAGCCTGGGCTACATAGTGAGTTCAAGGCCAGTTTGAATTACATAGTGAGAACTTGTCTCAAAAAAAAAAAAAAAAGTATAAGAGGTAGGAAGTCAAAAAGCAAAAACCAGAAGAGGATGACAACAGAAATAAAATCAGCTCGTGACTACGCTAATGAAGAAAAAATACTACATTTACATCAAAGAAAAGAACCCCTCATTCAAGAGAACTGTATAAATACAGGGTAGGTGGTAGCATACATATGCATTTACAACTACTTGGGAGGCTGAGGCAGGAGGATTGTAAATTCTAAGCCAACCTGGGCAACTCAGTGAGATACCATTTCTAAAAAATAAAATGGGCTGGGGGTGGGGGATGTAGCTCAGCAGCACAGCGCCTGCCTGGCAAGCGCAAAGTTGTGAGTTTGATTCCCAGTACCGGAAAATAAATAAATAAATAAATAAATAAATAAATAAATAAAATGGGCTAGTGTACAGGTCATTTGCCTACAATGTGTGAGGCTCTAGGTTCAGTTACCAACAAAAAAAAAAAGTAAATGTGAAAAAATAGTTTTTAAAACTGTAAACAACAGTTCATTGGAATACATGATACGACTATTTACAAGGACTAGGACAGTCATTAAAGTAGTATGGATTCTGCAATCAGACTGCCTATATTAAAATTCTGGCTCTACCAATTCTAAGCAGTTACATTAAGCAAGGTATAGAACCTCTTTGTGTCTCAGTTTCCTCAGGTACACAGTGGGCCTCATATTAGTACTTATCAGTTTTACAATGTTGTGGAAATTAAATTTGGCCAGTATGGCAGCATGATCTAGAAAAATAAAAACATCTCCTTGGTCAGGTGTGTATGCTTGTAATTCCAGCACTCCAGGAGTCTGAGACAGGAGGATCTCAAGTTTAAGCTCAGCTAGGCAACTTAGTGATATAGCAAGACCCTGTCTCAAGACAAAAAATAAAAATGGGGCTGGAGATGTAGCGCAATGCAAAGGTCCTGGGTTCCATCCTCAGTAGTGAGAGAAAGGAAAGGGAAGACGGGCGTGGTGGCACACGCCTATAATCCCAACACTCAGGAGGCTGAGGCAGGAGGGTCCCTGCAAGTTTGAGACCAGCCCGGACTACAAAGTGAGCTCAAGGCCAGCTTGAACTGGATAGCGAGACCCTGTCTCAAAAAGACAGAAAAAAAAAAAAAAAAGAAGAGAAACGAAAAGAAAAGTGAGAAGTGAATGATAGAACCTGAGCTGCGGGAATATGAGTGTTGTAAATGTTTTCTTTTTTTGAGACAGGGTCCTGCTATGTAGTTTGAGTTGGCCCTACTTACCACGTAGCCTAGGCTGACCTCAAACTTGTGACAATCATCCTGCCTTAGCCTCCTAAGTGCTGGGATTACAGGCATGTGCCACCACACCCAGCTGTAAATGTTTTCAGTTTTGCTCTGTTTAAAGTATCTCGTAATTAAAAATCATTTTCTCTGGAAAAAAAAAAAATAACATATCTCATAAGGTAGAAGACAATGGATGCATCAGCCCAAGTTCTGGGTCACAGCCAGTCTGCCCTTTAGCCCAACTCTGGAGAAAGCTTAGAAAAAAGTGATGGTTCTGGAACTCTTGTTCATCAACACGTGCCTGTAAGAGAGGGGCAATGCTCAAGTACCCACCTGGACCATTTCGGCACAAGTGGATACCAACAAAAGGCAGAAAGCCCGAGGGTCCACCTGAGAAGTGTCAACCTCATAGGACTGACATTATTGCTCCTGCTCAGGAAAACCTCAGAAATAAGGCTCAGCACTAAGAATGGACACATGGAGGAGAGAAAGGTGAGACATACTCACTCATGGACTCTGCTGTCCCCGTAGAGATCACTCAAGCCAAAGCTGATGTAGTGCCAATGCTCAGGGATGTTGGCAGAAGGGCTCCCCACGTTCCTGTACATGCTAACATAGTCCAAAGGGTCTGGGCCGCCCAACCTGAAAAAGACAAAACACAGGAGCATCAGTACAAGCCTAGAAACCAGACACTGTCACGCTAAGGAGCTCTACTTTTCAAGTCTTTAGGTCTCACCCTGGAGGAACTGAGGCAAAAGATAACTAAAGGAGGCTACACAATTGGGAGGATGAGACCCAGGGAAGCAAGCAGCTGAGAATACCCAATTTCACACACACAAAAAGCTCCCACTGGCAGGCCTCTTTTAGAAATAAAGTGGACTTCATGGTTGTCCACAATGCTTTCTTCAGCTTCAAATTACCAACCCTGAACAGGACTGGCAGGGACTGACCCTTCTATGGTGCCTGTAAACACACCAGATTTCAAGGCAAGAGGCGCGTCACAGGCCTGTGCTGAAGGACACTGTTCCTGGGAGCAGAGGCTCTGCTCCACTCCTCTTCAACAGCTAATTCCTGAAAGGCTTCACTGGCCGCTATGTTAACTACAGTTTGCTCTAAACAAACCCGAGGTCTGCAGTCAGCGAAGACCCTGTGTGCATTCCACAGACCAAAGCTGGCCTCTCATCAGTGCAAGTGACAAAGGCCAAACCCAGGCCAGCTCGGCTGTGCCCGGAGAAGCGCAGCAGGGTCCAGGCTGGCCCTGGGAGAGTGCTGCTCCAGGAGATCACCCCAGAGACCACTGCTTCGAAGGAAGAGCCGGGACACTGGCGGCCACATTAAATTTCCCCGCAAGTCCAACGAGAAGTCGTGGGAGAGATTCAAGCATTAGTTCATTCATTAGTGTCATAACTAACACTTCCAAAAAAATCCTGCTGTTCTTCAAATAGACAGGGAGACCTGGTACACTTAAAAAACAGACTCAAAGGAAACCATCAGCAAAAAGAAATCTGCTTTTAGCCCACCAACACGGCATTGAGTGAACTACCTCAGATATCTAACTTTTCAAAGGACTGCAAAAACTGCCTGAGGGCTGGAATGTAGCTCAGCGATAGGGCACTTTGCCCAAGGCCCAGGGTTCAGCGGGGGGAATGGGACACAACCTTGCCCCTGAGATGGGATGGAGTGCACTCTGCTAGCAGACAGTTCGCTGAAGGGAAGCCAACAACCAAATAAAACACATGCATGGGAGACCCCAGCAAGTGTGCCAGTATATGCAATTTAAACACTATTTAAAACCAGTAGGTCCCCGGGCATGGCGGCACACACGCCTGTAGTCCCAGCATTCAGGAGGCTGAGGCAGGAGGATTGCCACACATTTGAGGACTGCCTAAGCTACCTAGAAAGACCTTGTCTCAAAAAAACAAAGATAAATAAATAAAACCAGTAGGTTAGTCTGGGGATATAGCTCAGTGCTAGAGCACTTGCCCAGCATGTGCAAGGTCCTAGGTTCAACCCCACACACACACACCAAATCAATAGGCTTGGTTTCTTCATCTTTGCTAGAATATTATTTGCTTTTTTGTAGAAATACTTATGCTTTGCTGGGAAATGCTAAGTTATTTATAGAATCTGTAAGAAAGTTGCTACAAATAGCTTAGAATCTCAAACTAGTTAGGGAAAGGGACAAATTTCCATGTCTGCCCTTAACTCTGCTTTTACCAATTCATTTGACTAATTCCATAACCAGCTGAGTTTAGAGAAGTTTGTAGAGGCAAGGAGAAAAGAAAAGGGAAAAGAACCTGGGAGAACCCATTACAGCTGCAGAACTGTAGGACTACAGGCCTCCTACCGGCTCTAGTTTCCTGCTGCAAATTCCCACCCTGCCCACCCTACAGTCTAGGTCCATCCAACAAGCAGCAAAACTCTGTTCACTATTCCCTGTGCACCACCCCTACCCCCCACCCCACCCCACCCCCGCATACACTTGCCGCAGCCTTTCTTCTGACCAAATCTTCCAGGAGGAGAAGCGCTTACCAAGAGCCAGGGAATGTTCCCAAGCTCAAGAGTGTTTTGCTCTACTGCTCAGTCCCAGATGAGTATGGTGAGCAACCATATTTTACATTTAGCAAAACATGTTATCCAAGGCCCAGAGCATACCTCACCATAATTCCTTGGATACCTGACTTCTCTGCACAGGGCAGGTCCTGGAGTGGACCCAGAGTGCAGGTTTTGCCTCTCTAGTTTGACCTGGCTCATTAAAGTCTCAGCTTTCAGTCAAAATGTCCTTGCTAGCCAGGGACCACTAGCCAAAGAGCCAGCCCTCCACAACAAACAGAATCCCAAGGTGCCTCAGGCCACAGCCAGACCCAGGAAGCCTGGGCCAGTCATCCCGATATGAAGAGACTGGTGAGATCCCAAATGTGGGGTTATGAAAGAATTTCAGTATGTTAATTTTGCAAACCCTTCCATATCTTAGAAAGAACCAGTCACTGAGCTCTTCCCTCAGATTGTTCTAAATCTAGGCAGCATTGCTAATTTCACAAAGTGCTATATAATTCTCCTTGTCACCGCAAGCTGGCCATCCCAGAAGAAATGGCCTGGCTAATCAGCTTGCAGCAAGAATAATAAAGTAATTACAGTAACCATCTTTGGTCCTTTGCATAATGCTCAGATACCTCTTACAACCCTATCCTGGATGGCCACTGGGGTGACACAAGAACAGTTGCTTAATTCTGTGCAAGGACTTATCACAGTCAAATGATACCTGAGCAAACAGCATAGCAGGGACAGTCCCACTTTTCTCAAGGGTCAAGTTCGTCACAACACGGCTAAATCCACAGGTGCCATTAGAACAGGTGATTAGGTTAGCAAGAGCTGCTTTCCACTCAAAGGTGCTCTTCAAAAACTCCTTTGTACCAGCCAGGCATGGTGGCACACACCTGTAATCCCAGCACTCAGGAGGGTGACGCAGGAGGAGCACCATAAGTTCAAGGCCAGCCAGGACTACAAAGCAAGACCCTGTCTCAAAAAAGCAAAAAAAATAAAAGATTCCTTTGTACCAAAGAACAGTTTGCCTGCCAGAGAGGACTGCACTACAGGCCATACCTCCTCTCGGCTTCCCAGAGGAAGCTGCTCCTTCTGGCCCCTCTTGGGGAAATAGTAGCTGGACCCCTACTTGGGGTCAGCCTACTTTGCCTGTCCTCCCACTGACACACAGAGCTGGCTTCAAGCCACCACAACCTGGTGACTGCCATTTCCAGAGTCAGTGAGAGGCTGTCACAGAGAAGAAGGACTCAGTCCTGAAAGGAGCTGTAATCAACAAAGTCATCCACGTCTCTCTTCAGTTCTACCCTTTGCCAACATCCCAAGCAGCTTCTCAGTCTTTCAGGATCCTAGGGGATCATCTAACACAGTGCCTTCGTGAAAGTGGTCCTGGACAGATCTGGCCAATTCTTCATCCAATTTTTGGTACGAAAAGACCATAAACAGGCTGTTTTCCACAGTCCCTCTAACACCTGTTTTGCCTGAACGGTGAATGAAGAAGCAGCCTCCAAACAAGAATGGGAAACTAGGAAAGTCCATTCCTCCCCGCAAGGGCAGCCCGTCTGTAAACTAATCTTTAACAGCAACTTGGGAGTTATCCTGGGCTTCCCAGAGAAACTGCCGTCTAGATCCTGAAGCTGTGGACAAAAAGTTCCTCTTAACGTCTCACTGCAGTTCTTTTCTCCCTGCGCAGGGCCCGGGTCTCCATCATTTACTTCCCACTGCAAGTTGGAAACTCTCATCCGCCTTAATCCTGAGCCAAACCAAGGCTCCCCCTGCCATGTTCTTGACTCACGTCCTAAAGCAAAGCAGCTGCAAGGCCAGAGAGAAGGAAGCCTGCAGAGAGAGAGAGAACTGTGCAGAGTAAGCAAAAAGTTTATCAGGGAGAGTTGGTCCGTCAAACTTCAAAAGCAACAGCTTCACAGCGATGCACTTCCAGCTCCCCGGGAAGGTATCAAAAGGAGCCCTCCTTTTCATCCCACGCGCGGCACCCTCCTCCTGCTCCCCTCCTAACCCACAGGGGCGCCCAGGGCCCCCAGACCCACCCGCCCGAGACCGCAGGCGCGTGCCCTCGGAGCCTCCCCAGCCTCGCTCCTCCGAAGCCCGCCCCGGCCCCGCCTCGCCGCCCCCCTCGTCTTCCCCTCGCCCACTAATGACCCCCTACGGGCGCCCCTCCTTTCACCACGTTTACAGTTCCCTCTCACACCGCTCCACTCCGCGCCTACACACACCCCCAGTTCTCTGTTCTCCTGAACCCGGTTAACCCTTCACTACCCACGGCCCCGTTAACCCCTTTGTCCCCATCACCAACTTCTGCCCTAACTCCTTCCCCGGCTGCAGGAAGTCCTCCTTCCAAGCGCTCTCACCCAGCGCCGGCCCCCGGCCCGGCGATCCCCCTCCCGCGGCCCAGGCTCACCAGTACTTGACGATAGCGGTCACCTGGAGCGGGTTGGGCTGGTCGGGGTAAAGGCGGCGGCATTCCCCGTAGATGGCGTGCAGTCCCGGGGGGAAGAGCGAGGCGAAGGCTGGCGGGGCAGCGGGGCCGGGGGCTGGGGGCGCGGTGGGGCCGGGGGCGCCGCTAGGCCGCAGCTCCGCCATGGGGGCGCGTGGGGCGCTGGGGGGCCTAAAGCGCGGGGTAAGGGGCGCCCCGACAGTCCAGCGGGTGGACTCGGCGGGGGCGACTCTCCGTGGCTATGGGGGGGCTGCAGCGAGGGATAGCTCCGCGCCTGCGCACGCGGGCCGTTTGCCCAGGCCGTCGCCGCCGCGGAGTCTGCCAGAGGGCGCCTCCGGACCGCGGGGAGCGCGAGGGGGCGGGGCCCCGGCGCGCCCTGTCCAAGCACCCATTGGCTAGCATGTTTGCCAGTCATAGGAGGGAAGGCGTGACTCGAAATAGGCCCCGCCTCCCTCGCGCGCGCACGGAGCTGCCCGAGGCTTTTGCTCTCCCCCTAGCGTTAGGAGGAACCCGGTGTGAATAGAGATAAGGCACTCTTCTGAGGCGCTAGGGTCCCACGAAGAGCGCCGATAGAGAGCTCGTCACTGTTTTCGCTGACACGCTGCTGAAAACGATTTAAGCACAAATCGGACAATATATTGATCATTCCTTCCTTTGGCATTAGAGATTATTAACGTTAATACAGTATTTCCTAGTGCTATTGACTAAACAGTCCCTGCAACTTGAGGTGGGGGAGGAAATAATAGTCCCCCTCCAAAAAATGAAGTCGTTGGAAAGATTTACTCGCAACTTTTCTTCACCTCTATTTTCTCATCAAAACCAGTCCTAGCTCCGCATGAACAGTAAAGGGATATGACAGCAGTTCTTAAACCCTCAGTTGACTTTTTTTTTTTTTTTTTTTTTTTGGTCTTTTTGAAACAGGGTCTCGCTACGCAGTTCAGGCTGGCCTTCACCTCACTCTGTAGCCCAGGCTGGTCTCGAACTCGAAACAATCCTCTTGCCTCAGTCTCCTGAGCGCTGGGATTACAGGCGTGCACCACCACGCCAGGCTCAGTTGACGTTTTAATGACTCGTAATAGTAGTTCAAGTGCCAATCCTCAGGGTTCACTTGTTACAAAGTTTATACTTATCCAGGAAAGAAATGGGAAAAAGCAATGACAATGTACAGGGTTTTTTTTTCTTAAAGCTAAATTTATGCAATTTAAATTATTTTTCTTTGTTTTAGGAATATGTCCTTCGTGTGTGTGTGTGTGTGTGTGTGCGTGTGTGTGTTAAAATTTCCTGTTAGAATGTGAAGTGGTAGATGTTTACTTATGTCTTACAGACCCAAGTAAACATTGTCCCAAGAGAAGCGAGGGGAGTAGCAGGACTGATTTATAAAATCCAAACACCCACCATTCACTGACCAATCCAAACCCAACCACACACACTCAGAACTACATGCTTCAGGATGCATTGCGAACCCCTTCAAAGGGACGACACATTCCGGCACGCAACACAACCATCAACTTTTGTCTCGGCTATTTAATCGGTGGGGACTACAAATCCCACAACACCGTGCGTCAAAATACCTCTCCTAGTCTGAAGAAGAAGGCGGGGCCCAGCAGCAGGCTGGAGCGCTCGCTCTGGCACAAAGCATGCTGGGGTTTGTAGTTCCTGCGAGGCTAGCTAGGGCCGCTCCCTGCGCGCACTGTGCCGGCGGCTGGACTGCGCATGCGTGTCAGTGGCGTTAGCGGCGGACCCGGCTGGCAGTACCTTCCTCGGAAGGAGCGATTCCTCTGCCATGGAGTCCTACGATGTGATCGCCAACCAGCCTGTTGTGATCGACAACGTGAGTTATGTCTTTTCTATCTCTAAGGGACTTGTGCCGGCCTCTCAGAAAGGATGGCTTCCCGGGTTTCACCCTGGGCGGCCGACTCTTTGTCACTGCCCCGGCCTGTCAGGCTGGTTCCGGTGCCGCCGCCTCCCTCCTTCCCCCATCCACAGTCTTCAGGTGGGGCGGCCGACCAGCAACCGTGGGATGGAGAACTTAGGGGTGGGTAAAGGAGACTGCTGTAGCCCGAGCGGGGTCCTTAGGCCGTTGGCTCGAGGGGCCTTAACCTCTCTGTTAGAGCCTGGCGCCCGCCCCCTCCCTGGATTCCAATCACTCCATTGGCTGTCCTGGCTGCCCGTCTTGCCTGACGTTCCCGCCTCTGGGCCTTGCCGGATGAGACCGGCGCTCAGCAATTATTGGCTCGCGCACCTGTCGTTCTTCCCGCCGCCCTAGTGTTTCTCCGTCTAGGGGGCGGGACAGTCACGAGGGCTCTGGGGATTGGCCTCGCGGACTCGGTGGCGGGGCCGGAAGGCGAGGGGTGCGCCCATGGGCACTACGGGTGGAGAGCCGGCGTGGTGTACCTGGGTGGGGCTCGAGAGTTGGTGCCGGAAACTGCTGTAGGACTTCAGTTATTTCTGCGATTGTAATTTGTAGTTAATAAAAGTCAGAAGAAAGGGGAGTGACAAAGCAAACGGACGCCTGGTCGTTTCGGGAAAAATTACCACACCTGCAGTGTTTACCGGGTGCTCTGACGCTTCAAGGACACTCTCACCTACGCTGGAGTTGGATGCTCACAAACACTGGGTGGATAGTTGGGTTTGATTCTCGGTTCTGAAGTGAGAAAACAGAAACGGGTAAAGTGAGCCCAAGGTCACACAGTACAGGTGCCCTGAATCCGCTGCTTTATTCGTCGTTCCCTTTGCTTAGCACCGCCAAGCAGACGCACCAATAACGACAACTAGACAGAATTTAGATATTGCTTTTATAGGGTGGGATGAGGGAAATCGTGTTCCGTTCCTGTAGCCACTTAAAGGTTTGGCCTGGGCGAGATTGGTTGATACACCTTTCCGGGCCCCTTGTAGGTTCGTCAGTTGGGCAAAAACACCAGTTCCTTCCGCACCAGGCTATCAGGGATCACTCCGCTGATCTAGTCCTTGGCACCTGGGGATATCAGAGTTCTTTTCTTTACATCATCTTGTTTAGGATTCAGCCCTGGTAGGGAGAGAGGAATTATTTTCCCCAGTTTGCGGGAGAGTGAAGCTTGGATAGACTATTCAAAACACTCCATTTAGGGGGCTGGGGATTTAGCTCAGCGGCACAGCGCCTGCCTGGCAAGCGCAAGGTCGTGAGTTCGATTCCTGGTACCGGGAAAAAAAAAAAAAAACCCACCCACACACCCCATTTAAGAGCTGAGGAACCAGCTGGGCATAGTGGTGCAGTGTAATCTCAGCAGTCACAAGGCTGAAGCAGAAGGTTTGGAGTTCGAGGCCAACCTGAATTACATACTGAGACTGTGTCTCAAAAAAGAAAAAAAAAAAAAAAAGAGTTGAGGAACCAAGATTTAGCCTGAGATCTGGTTCTAGGTTGCTCACATTTTCTACAGAAAGGTGCTTTATTTGTTGTTGATTTTCCTTCACCCCAGAAGTACAGCTTCGGCCTTTTAAAAGGTAGAATTGAATTCAGTGAGACACCGTGTTTTTTTAAGGGGTAAAGCATGTTTTATTTATCTTTTTAAAATAACTTTTGGGCAGGGGATGTAGCTCAGCGGCACAAGCGCCTGCCTGGCAAGCAAGGTCCTGAATTTGATTCCTGGTACCAAAATAAATAAATAAATATATAAATAAAATAATTTTTAAGCCAGGCATGGTGGCGCACACCTATAATCCCAACACTCGGGAGGCTGAGGCAAGAAGATCACCATAAGTTCAAGGCCAGCCTGGGCTACGTAAGTGAGTTCAAGGGCAGCCTGAACTACATAGCAAGACCCTGTCTCGAAAGAAAGAAGAAAAAATATATAGAAATCATTAGTTTCCTTGGGGGTGGGGATTTAGCTCAGCGGCAAAAGCGCCTGTCTGGCAAGCGCAAGGTTGTGAGTTCGGTTCCCGGTACCGGAGAAAAACCAAAAAAAAAAAGAAATCATTAGTTTCCTGTCATCAGCAGCAGTACAGAAGGAGCAGTCCGTCCATCCAGCCAATTCCTTTGCATTGTTGAATTGCTGGGCAGGGTTGTATCTCCAGCCATTTCCTTTAACGTCATTTAAGCTAATGCTTCTTAGTTTGACCTTTATCTTTCCTGATAGTACAGTCAGCCCTCCATATCCACAGTTCTACATCCACGATTCAAACAATGAGAGATCAAAAATGTTTTTAAAGAAAGAGTGCACCTGTACCACACAAGTACACACCTTTCTTGTCATTATCCCCTAAATAGTGCAATACAACAGCAACTTATATAGCATTTACATGATAGTAGGGGGGTTTTTTGTTGGTTTTTTTGTTGTTGGTTTTTTGTTTTTGCAATACCGGGGATTGAACTCAGGACCTTGCATTTACCAGGCAGGCACTTGTGCCCCTGAGCTATATCCCCAGCCCGATACTAGGTTTTATTTATTTTATCTATATATTTATCTTGCAGTACTGAGGATTGAACCCAGGTCCTTCACACTGACCTACATCCCCAGCCCTTTTTTAAGACAGGGTCTCACTAAGTTGCCCAAGCTCGGTGTGAACTTGGTTATCTTCCTGCCTCAGCCTCCCAGAGTACTGAATTGCATGCAGTACCACCACTCCTTGCTGCCTTCTCCTATCTTAAAACTCCTCTTGTCACCCTTCTCTGACACTAAACCAATGCATCAGAATGTAATGAGGAAAATGGGGGTGCAGGCTTTAACAACAGTAAAGCGATAAGCATAATCACAGACATACATGAGAGGAGCAGATTGTTCATTCTGAAGATCAGATCTGCGCTAAGATCTCGAAGGATGGAGTTCTGGGCTAACACGCTCACTGTTCTTGTCCATCATAACCCTGTCTTTGTGCCCTGTGGGCCTCCGTGCAGGAAGTGTCCAGCCTCTAGAACACCGGTAAGCTGGGGGCGGGGTCCACCAGGATTTTGGGGATGCTGTGCTGCTTCAGATACTTCAAACATACAGAAGAATTCAAAGACATATACCACAAGTACCCATGTAGCCACACCTACCCCCACCCCCAAGTAGTTTGGGTGGTCGTTTTGTTGTTTTGCGGTACTGAGCACACACCGAGCAAGTGCTCTATCACTCAGTTACACTTCCAGCCTTTTCCATTTATATTTTGAAACAGGGTTGCACTGAATTGCCCAGGCTGGCATCAGCCTTGCAGTTCTTCTGCCTTAGCCCTCCAAATAGCTGGGATTAAGGTAAATGCCACTGTGCCTGACATCTCCCACCCAGTTTTCATAACTGTAGAAGATTTGCTATATTTGCTTTGAGAAGTTTTTTAAAGAAATAAATGTTTGGGTTTTGGTTTTTTGGAACAGGGTCTCACTTTGTAGCCCAGGCTGGCCTCAAACTCACAGCAGTCCTCCTGCCTCAGCAACCCAAATGCTGGGATTATAGGAATGTGCCACCACGTCCAATTTGGACGTGTATTTTATATTTTGTGGGTATATGTGTGCATGTTCAGTATTTGTGTTTTCAGTGCTGTCATCTTATTTGTCAGCTCTTTCTGTTAAGCAAACTCCAAATGTATAAAAGGGGAGGGAATAGTATAATGAACATCCATTATACCTCACTGTACCAGTTTTCAATTCCTGGCCAGTTTTTTCAACTATATTCCTACCCACTTTCCTTTCTCAAAAATATACTCAATTTACTATTGTTGTAGAGTGCTTGCCTAGCATGTATGAAGCCCTGGGTTCAAGTCCTAGCACTGGGAAAAGAAAAAACTGTTGTTATTCCTAATAAAACTAACATTATCAGCTGGGCATGGTGGCGCACATCTGTAATCTCAGCACTCAGGAGGTTAAGGTAGGATCGTTCTGAGTTTGAGGCGAGTCTGGGCTACAAAGCAAGCTCAAGGCCAACTTGAACTGCATAGCAACACCCTGTTTCAAAAGGACAAAAAAAAAAAAATTAATAAAATTAACATTATCATGTCAGGTGTGGTGGCACACACCTGTCATCCCATATTTAAGAGCCTGAGGCAGGAGGATTGCTATGAGTTCAAGACCAGCTGGAGCTACATAGCAAGACCCCGTCTCAAAAAAAAACAAAACAAATAAATGAAATAAAAAGTATGTTCTGCTGAGCATGGTGGTACATGCCTGTAATCTGAGTACTGAGGAGGCAAAGACAGGGGGACTGCTGGGAGTTCAAGTCCAGCCTGGAATACCTAGTGAGGCCCTGTCTCAAAATACAAAATCAAACAAACCAAAAATATTTATTCACATGGCTTTGCCAAAGTAAATAACAGAATGGCAGTTTATCTGCCAGGCACACAGTTTCTAATTGTAAATATTGTTAAAGAAATGGACCTAAGCATCGTGATGATGCACACCTGTAGTCCCAGTACTGGGGAGGCTGAGGCAGGAGAATCGCTGTAAGTTTGAGGCCATCTTGGGCTACAGAGTGAGCTCAAGGCCCGCCTGAACTACATAGTGAGAGCCTGTCTCAAAAGAGAGAGCCAGTCTTAGTGGTGCACACCTGTAGTCCCAGCATTCAGGAGGCTGTAACAGGAGGTTTGCTGCAAGTTTGAGACCAGCCTGGGCTACATAATGAGTTCAGGGGCAGCCTAAACTACATAGCGAGACCCTGTCTCAAAAAAAAAAAAAAAAAAGAGAAAAAAAAGAGATTAAAGAAATGGATGTGACCCTTCCAAATGCAGTCACTGTATGGCTTGAACAGAAGAGAGGGCTTAGCCTCCACCCCTCCTCCCCAGTGATTACTCACCACTGGCCTGGCAGGCCTACCGGGGGCCACAGGGACCAGCGGGGCTCGTTCCTCCTTACTCATCGTTCCCAGCGCCGCTTCACCTCCCTGCACCTCCTCTCCCTGGGGTGCTGGCACTCCAGCTCCTCATTCAGGCTCCACACTTCGTTTCACCTGCCAGCCGTTCGCGCTGCTGTTAACCCTAGCTAGCCAGCATCTACCGAGTACCCAGCAAGTGCCAAGTATTATCCCGGGACGAAGTCTCTGACTTCAGGAAGCTTGGCCTGAGAAGAAACAAAGATGGGAACCCTGAATTCTGAAAGCAGAATGTGGTGCGTGCGGCCTTGGAATGCAGGTGTCTGTGACTGGCTGTACAGAGATGGTGGACATTTCAGAGACAAGCGCCCAAGTGCACCCAGAACTCACGGACCTGTGGCAAAGTGCCAGTGCTACAGTTAAACCAGACACTGAGGTTTTAGTTTAGAAAAGCACCGCTCACATATGAACATCTTTTGTCTTAAAAGAAAAACAACACAGTTGAGCACCTCTGGGCTGTGACATATTAGGAAGTCGGTAATAAACGTCAGCTTGGGCTTATCCTTCAGGAGGGAGCTGGTGACGTTTGAACTGGGCCTGTTACACCCTATCTGGGAAGGACAGAGAGGAATGAAAGAATCGGACCTCTTAATCTGCCGTGTTACCCAGACTAGTCCTTTTGCTGGTACTCTGAAAATCAAGCATCTGGTTATCTTTCTCCTTATATTCAAAGATCAAAGCCAGGCATGGTGGTGCATGCTTGTAATCCCCCCATTTGAGAGGCTGAGGCAGGAAGACTGCCGTGAGTTTGAGGCCAACCTACACAGTGAGTTCAAGGACAGCCTGAACTGCATAGCAAGACCCGGTCTCCAAAAAAAAAAAATCTAGGTATCCAGGAGAATCCTCTCTTAAACATACGCACGCCTGAAGTACTTCTTTTGTTCTCACCCCCTGCCCGGGATCCACTTAGTCTGTTGGCGCAGGCGGTGACAGTCACTGGAGATGTGCGCTGACAAGTCCCTGTACTTCGCTTACACAGGGCTGTTCTGCCCACCCAGCCCGTGGCCCAGAGCCCTGAGGTTTGCCAGAAGAGAGCTCCTCCTCCTCCTCCCCAGGCCTCCACTCGTGCCTAGTGCCGAGAACGAGGCTGGCCCCCTCTCCCCCACACTGCCGCCCGTCCTTTCTCCATGTCTTCCTGCGCCCACTTCCACCCTCTGTCGTGCCAGAGGCAGCACCAGAAGGGCCGGTCTCCGCAGAAGAGCAGTCAGAGGCGGGGGACCGAGCGCCCTCGGCCATGTAGTGTCTCCGGCTGCGCCTCCGGCTGCGCTCGCCACTCGTAGTGTGGGGTCTGGAGCGGCACACTCCGCCCGGGAGGCGCCCGACTTGCCAGTAACGCGTGCAGCTGCAAATCATGCTGGCGCGAAGGGCGAGGGCTACTGGCTGGTGGCAGAGCTGAGAAGAAAGCAGCCCCGGGCCGTGACATCTGCCCCTCGCCTGCTGGCGTCTGTGTGTAGAGTCGATGTTTATGTGCCTGAGCCCCGGAAGGTCGGTGCTGGCTGGAAAGCTTGGGTTCTCTTCCAGACACCCCACCCAGCAAGCTGAGTATGAGAGCCGGCAGGGCTGTGGGTCTGCCACCACCGACGAGGCTTTAGGGCTTCTCTGTGCTTCACCATCAGGAGACTGAGGAGTGAAAGAACAGTAAAAAGCAAAACCGTAAAACACGTGTGGTGGTGCACACCTGTGATCCCCGCACGCAGAAGGCTGAGCTGGGAGGATCGCTGCCGAATTCAAGGCCAGCCTGAATTCTATAGCAAGATCCTATCTCAGCAAACCAGAACCGACAAGCAAAGGGCCCATAACCAGCCTGCGCAAAGCACAGTGCTCTGCGCCTAAGTGCAGAGTGCGCTCAGGACTAAGCCACGCTGGGGGCCGTCCAGAGGGGGCAGGGAGGTGTGGCTTGAAAGGGTGCCATGCCGGTGGGGCAGCAAGGGTCAAGTGCTCCCCTCCCCAGTTCTGTCCTTGAACTTGGCTTCTTTGATGCTCCCGGGTTCCTTCCTTTTCTTAGGTTTCTGTCTTTCTTCCCTTTCTTATTTAATTCCCAAAGGAAATCATGTTCTGTGTAGAAAACCCAAAGCCTGCAGAGAGATCAAACGCCTTGTGAGTGTGCAGCAGCCCCCCACCATCCCCGCGCCATCCCCCTCCCTGGTCCGCTCTCCTGACAGGCATGCCTACACGCCCACGTCCTACACAGTTCCTCTTGCTTTAGCCGTGATTCTAACTTCTCTCTCCCTCTCCTCAGGGATCCGGTGTGATTAAAGCTGGTTTTGCTGGTGATCAGATCCCAAAATACTGCTTTCCAAACTAGTAAGTTATTCGGTAGCTTAGCCAGAACTTTAGGAGAACAGCCCTCCACTTGTAGGAAGATTTCTCACTCAGGTCAGCCATGGTACTTCAAGCAGTGACACGCAGGGACAAGGGATGTGTTCGGAATAAGCAAAGGAAACAGCGGCTGTCTGCTGTCATTTGTAAGGCACAGGCAACAGGCCTTGTTTTTAAAAATCTGCTTTTGTCTGATGCCACAATTTTTATCATTTCTTTTTTACTCACTTTTTAATTATTTACTTATTTACTGGTACTGGGGATTGAAACCAAGAATACTCTGCCACTAAGCTACTTCCCTGCCTATTTTGTAAAATTTTAGTTTGAGCCAGGTGTAGTGGCACACACCTGTAATGCCAGCACATAGGAGGTTGAGGCAGGAGGATCATTGTGAATTCAAGGCCAGCCTAGGCCGCACAGTGAATTGAAGGTCAGCCTGAACTACACAGTGAGACCCTGTCTCAAAGAAAAACCCAAGAATAAGAATAATAATAATGATAATAATAAATTTTATTTTGAGCCTGGTATGGTGACACATACTTCTCCCCAGCACTGAGGAGGCTGAGGCAGGAAGATTACTGAGAGTTCAAGGCCAGTCTGAACTATATAGCAAGAGCCTGTCCCAAAAAACAAAAAAAGAAGCCTGGTGTGGTGGTGCACACCTGTAATCCCAGTACTGGTGGGGATGGGGGGACCCTGAATCAGGAGAATCGTTGCAAGTTTGCGGCCAGCCTAGGCCACAATGTGAGCTCAAAGCCAGCCTGAACTGCATAGCAAAACCCTATCTTAAAAAGACAAAAAAAGCGGGGTGGGGCTGGGGAGATAGCTCAGTGGCACAGCGCCTTGCTTGGCAAATGCAAAGTCCTGAGTTCAATTCCCAGTACCAAAAAAAAAATACAAAACAAAATTTTGAGACAAAAGTCCAGCTAAATTGCCTGTGCTGGCTTCAAACTTGGGATCCTCTTGTAATCCCAGTACTCTGGAAGCTGAGGCAGGAAGATTGCCACAAGTTCAAGGCCAGCCTGAGCTATATAGTTAGTTCACAGGTAGCCTGAACTATACAGCAAGACCCTGTCTTGAAAAAACAGAAAAAAAACAATAAAAACTTGGGGTCGTCCTCCCTTAGCAAGTAGTGGGGTTACATGTGTGCACCACTGTGCACTGTTCATTATTCTCATTTTTTAAGACAGAGTTTTATCCTGTTGCCCAGGTTGGACTCTGGATCCAAGCAGTCCTCCTGCTTCAGCCTCTCATGTAACTGAGACTATTGGCACATGGCACTGAGTCTGGTTAGAAGCCTTCTTCTTAAAATTCTCTTATCACCCAAGATAGGGTTTAACATTAAACATAACTACCATGAGACTCAGTCCCATCTTAGTGCAAATGAACTGCTTGGAGCCGTCCTCCTGAGGCACAGGCTGCACTGAGGGTGGGGGTTTGCAAGAGGAGAGGAAGAAGGCTGAGTCACGTTGCAGCCTCACTTACTGGACGTCCCGGCAGGGAACTGAGAAGTCCAGTGGGTGTTTTAGAGTCTTTTGTGTGTGTTTGTTAGTGCTGGGGTAGAAGCCAGGGCCTTACACATGCTCAGCAAATGCTATACCACTGAGCTATATCTCAGCTCCTTGAAAAGCTTGAGTTAGTCATTTATTTAAAAATTCTGGGCGGGGCGTGGTGGCACACGCCTATAATCCCAGCACTTGGGAGGCTGAGGTAGGAGCAGCCTGAGTTTCAGGCTAGTCTAGGCTGCCTTGTCTGGTGTCTCAGTTACTTTTCTGTCATTGCTGAGACAAAATACCTGATGCCCAAAATTAAGGAAGGAAAGGTTTATTTAGCTTACAGTTTGTGGAGGTTTCAGTCCATGCTTGGCTGGTTCCAAGGCAGAGTGGCACATGGCAGAGGGCAACAGCTCATGGTGGCAGAACACAGCAAAAACAACAACCACCAAAAGGGAGGAATGGTGGCAAGCAGCCTGTTCCTCTCTCTTACATATGCAAACTACCCGCCCCAGGGCAGTGTAGCACTCACAACCCTGAATCAAAACTCCAAAAGCCCACCCCGTGACTGCAGGAGGATTTGGGGGACATGCAGACACAAACCATAACATCTGGGCAGCATAGCAAGTTCAAGGTTTACCTGGACTACATAGTGAGACTCTGTGTCAAAAAAAAAGTTCTTGTTATCTTTTTAGTCTGCATACACACTGGGAAAGAGAAAATTTGAATCCTCTAAAAATTGTTTCAATAATTTATAAAATACGAAATAATATATAAATAAGGTGTGTTCTGCCCTAAGTGTAGTTGCACACACCTGTAATCCCATGCCTCAGGAGGCTGAGGCAGGAGGACTGCTGCAAGTTTAAGGCCAGCCAGAGCTACATAATGAGACCCTGTCTCAAATAAATGAATGAACGAATAAGTTCTTTGTAGAAATTATAGAAAACAAAGTATAAGGAACTGAGCATAGCTCAGAGATGAGCGCAGTAGAATTTGGATATGTGTGCATCTGTATGTATGTTCTCCCTGTGTCTGTCCTGAAATGAAACTGATCTTCCTCCCTGCCTTCTCTCTAGTGTGGGCAGACCCAAGCATGTTCGTGTCATGGCAGGAGCCCTTGAAGGAGACATCTTCATTGGCCCCAAAGCCGAGGTAACTCCCAGTCCTACAGAAAAAGCCTCAGACAAGCAGAGGACCTTCGCTATCCACTGCATGAGAAGTGTCCCAGCAGTTGCATATTAGCCGTGAGCAGAATGAGTGATTTTCTCTTAAAACCTCCCTTTTGGTCCTTTCATGCCTGGCACAGGCAGTGTATTCCTCCCAAGGACAGCTTCTGCTATTGGAGAATAGCTAGAACCGCACTTTGGGAAGCAGAGACTGGTATAGCAAACACGGCTTTTTTTAAAAAAATGTTTATTTATCATTATTATTGGGGTTTTTTGTATGTATGTGGTGCTGGGGAGCGAACCCAGGGCCTTGTGCCTGCCAGGCAAGAGCTCTACTACTGAGCCACATCCCCAGCCCTTGCCTTTCTTCTGTAGCCAGTCACTACCTGGCCAGTGATCCAGTTGATGGGCTTGACTTCTTTTTGGTAAAAGTGATTCAAAGTGGAGATCCTGGCTGGCACACTGTGGGGATGAGTTTGCACACTTCTGGCTAAACCCCCAGCCAGCCTCTAGTAAGAATAACAGACTCAGGGCTGGGGATTTAGCTCAGCGGCACAGCGTCTGCCTGGCAAGCTCAAGGTAGTGAGTTCGATTCCTGGTACCGTAAGAAAAACAAAAACAAACAAACAAAAAAAGAATAACAGACTCTTCGCCTCCAACTTTGGCTTCAAGTGCTGAGGCCAGAGGTGAGGGCCAAGAGACTGTAGTAGCGATAGCATCCGGGAACCCGGCAGTCCCTTGCCCTGGGGTCCTGAGGGGCCATAGAAATACAGACGCCCTCTGCTTTGCAGCTGCTTGGGCAGCAAGGGCAAGAGTGCAACACAACCGAAAGACCTGGAGAATGGGTGCCCACCTTTTGCCTGGGTACAGGCTGCGGGAAGGGACCTCAGAAGCTGAGGTGCCTGTGGAAGTGACTCAGCTTGCGTGGCTCAGGCCTAGAAAAGCAGGGTCCCCTGCCTGCTGCTACAAGTCCCACCCTCTGCCCACAGGAGCACCGAGGGCTGCTGTCCATCCGCTACCCCATGGAGCATGGCATCGTCAAGGACTGGAACGACATGGAGCGCATCTGGCAGTATGTCTATTCTAAGGACCAGCTGCAGACTTTCTCAGAAGAGGTGCGGGTCGCCCGTGCAGGGTCCCTCCATGCTGGATGCAGTGCTGGGCAGAGCCCTACCCCAGAGATGATGAGGATAACAAACTGCCAAGAATGTTTTAAGTCTTACCGTGTACCAGGCACCAGGCCAAATGCTTTTCAGACATATTCATGCATGTGACACATAGAACAGCCCCCATTCACAGACACAGGGATGTGCATGTGTACTGACATGTAAAACGATAGATCACAGATTGGTGCCAGGGACAGCTTGATACCCAGAATTTCACACCCGATGGCTTGATACACATCCTCCAATACGCACACACACACTCGTACCTAGTACTCCTTAACACATACGAATGTGACGTAAGTAGACCATGGTGCACATGTAGAGACCAATGTAACAGGCCATATCACTCACAGCATGATCAAACCACGTAAGAACTCACAGCAGCCCTGGGACATCCTCCTGTTGTATTAAGAACACCAAGATGCCAGGCATGGTAGAGTATGCCTGTAATCCCAGCACTCAGGAAGCTGAGGCAGGAGGATTTCCATGAGTGCGAGGCCAGCCTGAACTACATAGTAAGACTGTATTTCAAAAAACAAACAAACAAAAAAACTCAATGTTAAAATTTAATTTCCCATCTTATAGTACAAATTTTTATATTATCATAATTCAGACTTTAGAATTGAATAAAATCTTTTTTTTTTTTTTTTTTTAAGGGCTGGGAACTGAACCCAGGCCATGTACACTGAGTTATATCCCCAGACCTGTTTTGTTATTTTTGACTTTGAGACAGAGTTTCACTAAATCCCTGAGTTGCCCATGCTGGGCTCAAACTTGCAAGCTCCTGCCTCAGGCTGTCATAGTCCTAGGGTTACAAACATACCACCATCCCTGGCTATAAAATGTGGCAGTGAGAGAGAGGCAGTAGATACCTTATAGAAGTCTTATAGAAGAATCTTGGGACAGTAAGAGGAATCAGAGGGTGAGGGTGAGGGTGAGGTCAGAGTGAGACTTTAAGAGACATGAATTTGCAAAGTTGAGAGCCCAGCTTGGGCGGGGTTGGTGACAGGCTTAGCTTACCTTTTTGAGTGGGCTCTCCAGCCATCGAGGTAGGGGCTTTTCTCCCACTACTGCTGATGACGGAAATCTGGCTTCCCCTGATTGTCTCCTGGGTTCCTTTCTGCAGCATCCCGTACTTCTGACTGAGGCGCCTTTAAACCCACGGAAAAATCGAGAACGAGCTGCTGAAGTTTTCTTTGAGACCTTCAATGTGCCCGCTCTCTTCATCTCCATGCAAGCTGTACTTAGCCTGTGAGTAGAAGCCTGGCTGGCTAACTGGGCCTGGTGGACGGAGAGTCCTTTGGCACAACTGAGGCTGCCTCCTTTGGGCATTTCAGAGTAGCTGAAGCCCCACTCAGCCCTGCTGGGAAGGGATAAAAATGGTGGCAGTGGGAGGGAGACTTTTGTTGGAACAGGGTACCGAGGTTCCTCGGTTGGAACTAAAAGAGGTGTGGCTGGGACCGAGCCTGTGTCCTTGGCCGGGGACACAGGGGCTTGTTGTGCAAGGGTCTCCACTGGCCCGCAGCGAAGGCCCCCTGAGCACTCCTGCAGACCCTGCTGGGTGCAAGCGCTCTGCGGGCTGCTGCTCCAGCCCCAGCCACAGTCCAGACACCACCCCAGTCCCGCTCTTGCTCCCTGTTACTCCTGTCTCACTGCACACCCTGCCTCTGTCTGCTGCAGAGATGGTGCACTGGATCAGCTTGGTTTCAGTAAAAATCTGTGAACCAGCGCTTAAAAGTTAGTTTTCGTATCAAAATCCAAATCCCGAGCTTCTCTGGAAAATGGGAAAATGTGATCCTGCGCTCCTGTAGGGCAAAAATCAGCCAGAGCTGCCAGCAGCGGCTGTAACAGACAGGGTTTGCAAACTGGCGTCACTACAGTGCACTCCATTTCCTGCTGTCCTCCTACCCCTGATGTGGAGTGCCCATTGCTGCTTATCAAACATTGGCGTTTTGCTCTCACATCAGAAATACATGTATGAGAAGGCTGCGTGTTGTGGTAATCCCAGCACTTGGGAGACTGAGGCAGGAGGACTGCCTGCCTTGAGTCTGAGGCAGCCTGGACCCTGTCTCAAACCCCAGCGCCCAAAAACGAACAAGAAAGGTATGTAAGAGAGAACTAAAGGCAGACCTAGAAGGCCACGTGAGGGGGAAAGCAGGTCTTTATGGAAGTGAAAAGTACAGTAGCCTTATTTTCCTTTACCTATTCCCTTGTCTTCCTGGCCTGTCGGTGTTGCCTCTTGTTGGAAAGTTAAAACTGCCGCTCAGGTAGGGTCCCTGGAGCAGCTGGAGGCCAGGCTGCCCCCGCAGACCGGAAGGCCTGCTTCCAGGAGGTTGGGGTTAGGGATGCTCGGCACCTCTGTCCGGGTGTTTCAGGCTTCCACAGTATGCGGCCCGTGCTAGGCCAAGAGCAAGGCAGGCCCAGGCCTCGGTTAGCCGGCACTGAGCCCTAGGGAGAAGTGGGCCTCTTCCGGGGTGAGGGGGCAAGATGAGTGATGGTCCCCCTCGCTCAGTTATGCCACAGGCAGGACCACAGGCGTGGTGCTGGACTCTGGCGACGGCGTCACGCACGCCGTGCCCATTTATGAAGGCTTTGCCATGCCTCACTCCATCATGCGCATTGACATCGCTGGCCGAGACGTCTCCCGCTTCCTCCGCCTCTACCTGCGCAAGGAGGGCTACGATTTCCACTCGTCCTCCGAATTTGAGATCGTCAAGGCCATAAAAGAAGTGAGTACTGCCCCACGTGCCCAGGGATGGGGCCTGTGCGTGACGAGGGGTGCAGCTCCCCCCTGGGGCTCGGGGTCAGCCTCTTCTCCCCAGCCTGGCTTTCTGGCCCACCCACTGACAGTCACCTTCTGGAATGCTGCCACGTCAGGGGGAGCAGCTACCTCCACTCCCTAAGCTGGGGACAGGGAGCCTGGGGCTGTTCATGTGTGGGGTGCACAAGTTCCTCCCCCGTTGAGGCAGTCAGAGTGCCTTTTTCTAAGTAAACAACTATCCTGCTACCGCTGGCTGTAGGGAGACCTCTGAGCTGGTCACAGGGATCCAGCAGCACAGGGATTCAGGAGGGAGAAAGATGTCTGCGCCTGGGCTAAAATCACACTGTAGTCTCAGACCCAGGAGCCAGAGAGGCGAGTGCCAAACCTGCCCGCTGGGCAGGTGGGGCAGGTGAGCATCAGGTCCCAAGGGCCAGCCAGTGCAGGCCAACAGACCTCCCTGCCCCTGCTTCTGGGCAGCAGCTCTGACACCAGCGCGGTCACCGTGAGGGGCGGGCTAATGCGCAGCACACCTCCCTGGGCCCGGGCGCTCACTGCTCGCTTGGTTCGCAGAGAGCCTGCTACCTGTCCATAAACCCCCAGAAGGACGAGACGCTGGAGACAGAGAAGGCGCAGTACTACCTGCCCGACGGCAGCACCATTGAGGTAGGGGCTGTGCCGCCCCCTTTCCCTTCAGACCGTCAAAGCCCTGGGCCCAAACAGGACTGCCCTGAGGGCCTGGAACAGCGGTGCTCTGCAGCAGCACGCGTGGGCTCCTGTCCTGCAGAGACGCAGGACCTTTGTTCCTCTGTGGAGGAGAGGAGGCGCCGGGGAAGGTCCCGGGTAAGGGTGGGTTAGGGATTGGGGTGGCCGTGCTGTCCTTAGCTCCTCCCAGGCGCAGAGTGAGGAGAGTCACACTCCCCGGAAGTCCCACGGATAGGAAGGAGTGTCCACAGGTGAACGAATCCATATAATAATGCGGAGACCTAGTTTCCCAGGGGTGCTGTTTGCTCTTTGCCCTATTTGTTCCCGAAAGCCCTGTCCTCGCTCCCTGTGGCTGTCGACATAAGGGTCAGTCTTGAGCCTGGTCTTCAGTCGCCATCTGCTTGCTGTGAGATGGGCAGAGGCGCTCCTCCCACTCGCTCGCAAAGGGCCTCAGTGCCAGCCCCAGCCTGCTAAGCCGGCCCTCCACTCTGCAGATCGGTCCTTCTCGCTTCCGGGCCCCCGAGCTGCTGTTCAGGCCAGACCTGATTGGTGAGGAGAGCGAGGGCATCCACGAGGTCCTGGTGTTCGCCATCCAGAAGTCCGACATGGACTTGCGGCGCACGCTTTTCTCCAACATTGTCCTCTCAGGAGGCTCCACCCTGTTCAAAGGTTGGTCTTTGCTCTTGAAGCCTTTTCCAGAACGAATCCCAACCTGGCCTGGCCCTGGGGCCCCAAGAACTGACTGGAGAACCTCCTTTTCTGCACATTCAGGTTTTGGTGACAGGCTCCTCAGCGAGGTGAAGAAACTGGCTCCCAAAGACGTGAAGATCAGGGTAGGAGCACAGCGGGGCTGGCCAGGTGGGGCTGGGCTTCCTTTCAGCCCTGCCTGCGCCCCTGCGGCAGCCAGGCTCTGCAGCCTGGTGCTCCCAGCCTACACGCTGACCCTGGGGCCTAGGCAGCCAGAGGAGACCCTCCTTCCCACTCAGAAGGAAGGCAGTTTCAGGACCAGGATTCGGCAGGGTACTGGGCTGAGGGCACCACCTCTGGGCCTGCAGGTGACCGGACGCGGACTTGCCTGCTGCTGGGCCCGCTGCCCTGGGACCCGGTGTCTCCCGAGGCAGGCCGGCTGTCTGCAGGCAGGAAGGATGCTAAATTAAGGCATGCAGTTCTTGCAGAAGTGTGTGTCCCCACGGGGCCTCCAGAGGGGACAGGGCCCAGGAGGAGCAGAGTTGGTGTGTGCAGTGCACCCTCTGCCCTGGGGTGAGCAGGCAGGAAGAGGGACAGGGATCTCAGATTCCTCTTCCCATTCACCTTTGCAGATATCTGCACCCCAGGAGAGACTGTATTCCACATGGATCGGGTGAGTAGCTTCCTTGGGGATAAGAGTACAGCAGAAGCAGAGGCATGGATTATCCTTCATCCCTGTCCCCGTCTGGCTTGGCCCCGGGGGACTGGCTGGCTCTTAAGATTCCCTCTCACGAGGCTCCTTGGATCCCTCCACCCCAGGGGCTCTATCCTTGCCTCCCTGGACACCTTCAAGAAGATGTGGGTCTCCAAGAAGGAATACGAGGAAGATGGCGCCCGATCCATCCACAGGAAAACCTTCTAATGTTGAGACATCGTCTTTACCTCTCTGAAGTTAACTCTACTTTAAACTCGCTTTCTTGAGTGGGCGTGATTGCGAGGAGCTGCCTGTGTATGATGTGTGTAGGTATGAATGTGTGCACAGATGCGAGTGCCGTGTGGCCCGGGATCTCCGGGTCCGGAAAGGATGATGGCTACCCACGATGGCGCCAGCCCAGGCTGGCCTTGACCACTACTGGGCCCTGGCGGGGAAGACTGCTGGCAGAGGCCCGCTCCTTCCTCAGCTGGGCCTTCATCTGGCTGTGGGGTTCTGTTACCACCGCAGGGAGACTTGCTGCTGCCCACCCTGGGCTGGCTGGCCCACCCTGCCCCACCCCAGGGTGCTCTGAAGCCTGAGCTGCTGCCTGTCCCTGGCACCACCCTGCTGTCCTTGCCTCTTGACGATGGACTCTGGACTGGGGTTGGGGTTAAGTTCTGCCTGGTCTGGCTGTCTTCAGTGGTAAGCTGTAAAACCACTCGAGCGTGCCTAGAGACGGGTTGGGCGGCGGCAGGGTGCCCTCACATCCGCTTGGGCCCGGCACCCCACTGGGCGCAGGGAGGGCAGTAGTGCCGCCTGTGACTGGCTGCAGAGTTAGTGCTCCAAGCCTAGCCCACCTCCGGGATCTTCGGAGAGCTAAGGAGCCTGCTGGCTCCAGGTCATTCCTCGCTTTTCATCCATCCTCGTTTCAATGCCATCCCCACGGGCTTATTTATTGAAGTATTGTTCAGTAGGGGGACTGGGAGCCCGGGCTCCCTGCCTCCTGCCCGCCAGCCGCCACGTCAACTCATGTTTGCAGCGTAGCGTGCAGGGCTGCCACCCCTGCCGACGGCGAGTTGACGACATCCGTAGCTGTGCCTCAGCGCACTCTGGGACTGGAGGTTACACTCAAAGCCTCTTTCTTTCTCCCTCCTCCACCTGCTCACTGCCCTGGAGCCAACAGGCTGGCTGCTGGTTGAATTTTCTGAAACAGGAGGTAGCATCCCTCTGGCAGAGCCCCTTGCAAGGGAGGGTTGTTGGAGATCCGGTCCCTTAGGACTGGAGAAAGCTGCAGTTTACCACGTTGCCTTTTGCCATTCTACCCGGCCAGGGGAACTGGTTGGAGAGGCAGGAAGGCCCCTCGAGTGATCGTGTGCCGCTGCTGACTTTGGTCCTGTTTGGGGAGGGAGGGACGAGGGCCTGGAGCTGATGGAGGCTTGGGCCTGACCTCAGGAAGTCCAGCGGCCTTCAGCCCAGATGGTACAAAGCGGGGTGAACCTGTCTTCACCGGCACCATTGCCTGTGACACCAGGACCCAGCCAGTGCCAGATTCCAGGCAGTATTCTTTCCCCATACCGTCCCGGGACCAAAGGCCCCTGCCAGATGTGAGCCGAAGCAGGTGTGTGTGAAAGCGACGTGGCAGCTGCAGACCGCAGTGCGCGTAACCAGCTCACCTCCCCCTTAGCCCAAGCCTGTCCCTTGCACAGCCTCGCACAAACCGTATTGCCTGGTGGGGCCCAGTGTACTTAAATAAAGTTGTTCCGATAGACACATGAGCCAGGCCTCTGTCTGTGGCCAGTGCAGGGCAGGAAGGGGAGACGTGGTGGCCTCTGGAAGTGAGATGGTGACCTGGCCTGCTGTGGCCTTGGGCAGGCATTGTTATACCTTCCAGGTCGGGCTGAGCGACAGGCTGTCAGGTGGATTAAAAAAACCCATTGTTCACACCAAAACCTAGGTTTGAAAACTGAGGGTGTAACTCCTGCATATACTCAAGACCATGAGTGAGATCCCAGCACTTGGGAGGCTGAGGCAGGAGGAGTGCCACGAGTTTGAGGTCATTATGGGCTACATAGCAAGACCCTGTCTCAAAAATAGGATTCCCTGCCCCCAGTGTTCCTGGTGGCTAGGCTGAGACACTTAGCTAGTGCAGTGGTTTTCAATCCCACCTGCACGGTAAAAATCACAGGTTTTCAAGACCCGTGTTCAGGCCACACCCCAAGCTCAGCAAGCTAGGATCTTGGGAACAGAACGCTCCAAGAAGCTTCGTGATGCCCCGCTGGTGACTCCTGCACTGGGAGCCTGTGACCTTGCACAGGTCCTTACAGTGACTGTCCGGCAGCGGTGCACGGGGAACGTACTCGAGTGCCACTTGCAGACACCCAGTGAGCTGCATTCCTACCCTGGTACTTGAGAGTCCAACACGGGGCCACGGCTCTGGGGAACTGCTGTCAGGGTGCTTTCCTGAGCAGTGAGGATCTTTTTTGGTTTTTTGAGACAGGTTTCTTTGTGCACCGGGCTGGCCTTGAACTCAGTATGTAGCTCAGGCTGGCCTCTGGCTTGGAGCAGTCTTGTTTCTGCCTCTGAGTGCTGGAGTCACAAGCCTGTGCTGGCACGCCCAGCTCACAGTGAGGAACCTTGATTACCAGTCTGCTACTCACACAGCACAGACCTGAGGGATAGGAATGACTGGCTTTAATCAGTAACAAAACAAGACGCTTAGAGGGGGCACAGCTCGGGAGCAGGGAGACGTCTGAGGCCACCGGAAGGATGGGAGGAAGTGGGTGGCACTTACACTCCGCTTCCCCGACCAGGCAAAGGGAGCGGCTGCAGTGCAGAAGTGGCCCCCGAGGCCACCAGAGCGGCCAAGCACCGCAGGCAGGCCGTGCCTGGGCCTGAGACCCAGCCAGGGTGCAGCCCCATCCCTGCAGCCCCAGGTCCCTTTTGTCCTGCCCGTAGGAAAGGCAGGTCCCTGAGCACAGACAGCCCCGCCCTGGCCTAGCAGAGCCAGGCAGACCTCAGGGACACTCCTAGCTCCGCCTCAGGAGCTCCCGTCTGCCACCTGTCCTCCAGGTCGTACCCCGGGAAGGCAGGGCAGTAAGAGACGGGCTGGGCAGTATCCCCAGCTGGGCGGCCTCGCCATGTCGCTCACACCGTCTTAATGTCCAGAGTCTGGACCTGTGCCAGGCTCTGGCGCTGGGCCTTGACCATGTGCAGGCGCCGCCCGTGCAGCGTGAACTGGGACCAGGTGAGGAGCTGCAGCAGCGCGCAGGTGATGGGCACCAGCACCAGCAGGTAGAAGCAGCCCTGGCGCAGCGCTGGGGCCCGTGCTGGGGCGGGAGCTGGTGGCTCCAGCCAGGGCTGGGTGCTGCCCACGGGGATCACTGGGGGCTGCTGGAAGAGGTCGTGACCTAGGACAGGAGCACAAAACATGGCCCAGTTCCCCTCCAGAGTCCACAGGGTGACGCCTCAAACGCCACCGGTGGACATCCCAGGCCACGACGCTTGTCGCCTCTCCTAAGCCCACGCCTCCCGTTCTTCCCTTCTGGTGGGTGTCACCACCGTCTCCCCAAAAGCTCAGGCTGGAGAAGTCTGCCTGCCGCAGTTGCTGTGTTTAACTCCAGCACTCCCCAACACCCACCATTTGTCGCCATCCAACTCCAAGAGGCGCTCCACACAGCCCACACCTCGGCCCGCTGCTCCCGGCCTCCCTGGGCAGCCATTGTAGAGCACCCATCAGACCACGCCACTTCCCCGCTCCCAACTCTCCTAGCAGTGCCCCTGTGCAGTGCGCACAAACTGCAAACCCCGCCCCGACCTGCAGAGCCCTCTCTGCTTGCCCAGCCTCACCTCTAACCCCAACATCGGGGCCGCGGCACATTCCGTTCTCTCTGCTTGTGTTCACTGGCAACTTCTCTGGACCCAGCCCTTGCCCCTCCATTCACACTTGAGGACCACCTCCTCAGAGGCCCTCCCTGACCACACTGAGTAACTTCCGAGTCACACTTTACCACTGCACTCACCACTGCCTGGGAAGTGCTTGTTTTGCTCTTTATTGCCACCCTAGCCCTCTGCCTGATGAAAGCAGAGGCTCCGTCACAGCAGAACCTGAGGAGTGCCAGGGATGCCGCTCAGTGGCACAGCACCTGCCTGGCATGCACAAGTTTGCCTGAGTTTGATTCCCAGTTCAGAAAAAAAGAACCTGGGGAGATAGCTCTGCAGCAGTCTGTTGACTGAATGCAAGCATGAATGAACTACAGAAGGAACAGAGGAGTTCGAGACCCAGTTCCTCTCCCCATGCACGGGAGGCTCATGGGAGGTGTCAGGCGCCAGGGCCATTCTTCCTCCCTGGACCTAGCCCCAGGGCTTGCAGCTGGTATCCTAGGGAAGCTGTGTCCCACAGCCCTAAAAGCCCCTGGCCTGTCCCCAGGCCTTCACCTGTGTAGAAGCAGAGAAGCCAGGTGCCCAGCAGTGGGGCAAAGGTCTGGCCTGGTTTGGTCACCAGGGCAACCATGCCAAAGAGGAGTGCTGAGGCTGCCTGTTTGCGGTGATTCAGCACCAGGTCCTCATCCACCAGGTCAGTGACCACCAGCGTCAGCAGCTTACAGGTGCCCTCGGTGAAGACACGGTTGCTGCCGGTAGAGAGCAGCAGAGGGGCGGGGGGGAGACAGGTGAGATGTGTTATGTGTGGGCACCAATCCCCACGACATGCCATCAGTGCAGTGCAAACATGGACTCATAAAAATATTTACATCAGTCAAACAGGGTGAAGGCGCAGGCAGAGTGCGGCGGCAAGGCTGGCCAGAGGCATACCTGGCAATGAAGAAGCATAGCAGGCCCGGGTGGTCCGGGCCGGCCACCAGCATGAGCAGGCTAAGGCCCAGCTTGAGCAAGAAGAGCCCCCGCACTACGGCATAGACGCCCCAGCGCCGGCACAGGGGCAGGAAGTAGAGGTTGTTGAGATGAGGAGCAACATAGGAGATGCCTAGGGAGGAAGAGATGCCACCTTATCAGGGGCAATGCCACAGCCTTGTAATGTGAGAACTACTAGCCAGGTGTGGTAGTAAAAACCTGTAATCCCAGCACTTGGGAGGCTGAGGCAGGAGGATTGCCATGAGTTTAGGGCCAACCTGAACTACACAGCAAGACGCTGTCTCAAAAAAAACAAACAACAATCAGAGCTACTGTTTGTAGTACTTTCACACTGACAGACCTCTAGGCTGTGCACTGCACACTTTGGTTTACTCTTCACAAGCCCTAGAGATAAATACAGTTGTCCTAGAGGACAGGTTCCAGGGCCCCCACGGGATAGCAAAATCTGAAAAGAAAACTTCCACAACAACCTATACACATCCTCCCACGCTTTAAATCATCTCGATTACTTACATAACTAACGCCACATAAATGCCATCTATGTAAACAGCTGTTGTACTGTTAGGGGATAACCATAAAAGATTATACGCGTTCAGTGCAGAGGCAATTTTTTCCCCAAATATTTTCCATCTGTGGTTGGTCGAATCCATGGATGCAGAGGCCACAGATACAGGTCCAGTTATCCTTGCTTTACAAACGAGAGGCCCAAAGACATCCACAGGCTCACACAGGCCTGCCAGGTGCAGTCCGCGCCGCTCAGAGCCAGCTGCACCCCTGGCCTCTGAGCGGCATCGTCACCAAGGCGACCAGCACGAGGGCAGCCCTGCCCACACCCAAGACAGGGGACTAGCGACAGTTGGCGCCGCAGGCCAGGCCTCTGCCTCCCGGGCTCCAGCCAGTGAGACGGCCCTGCCGCCGGCTGGGCTGGGGGGTCGCGGCACGGCCAGTCCCCTCTCCATGCTCCGGGCACCAACTCACCCAACAGGAAGGAGCCGGTGGACAGGGAGATGTGGTCCGACAGCAGGTGCTCCAGGAAGAGCGGGAAGAAGTTGCTGTTGAAGTGGCAATGAAACACCTGCAAGCCACAGGGCGGTAAGGGGCGGCCTGGCGGGGACAAAGCCCCCGGAGAGGCGTGTCCTCCATCCCCGTATCCCTAGCCATGGAACGTGCAGGAACAAAACCCAGAACCACGCTCCTGCTGCTTGTCTAATTCTGTACGGTAACGCAGTAATTAGAACAAGTTTTTCTTTTTTTTTTTTTTGAGGCAGGGTCTCACTGGCCTTAAACTCTCTACGTAGCCCAGGCCGAGAGTTCAAACTTATAGCAATGGTCCTGCTTTAGCCTCCCAAGTACTGGGATTAGAAGTGTGAACCACCACGCCCTGCTAAATTTTTCAAATGAATTGAAAACATCTTAGTAATACAAGTTTCTTTACCTTTTCTTTTAAAGACAGGGTCTCGATTTGGAGTCCAGCCCTTGAACTCACTATGTGGGCGGGGCTGCCCGCGTGCTGGTCCCCTTGAACTCACTAGTCCAGGCTGGCCTCAAAGCCTTGGCAGTGGTCCTCCTGCCTCAACCTCCCGAGTGCTGGGATTACAGGCATGCACCTGGGATTACACCATGCCCAGCTAGTAATACAAATTTCACAACCTGAAAACCATTTATTTCTAAATTTGACTAGCTTCTATACTACACATTTCAGGTGTGGCACTTGTGTTATAAAAGGGTTGTCACAGAGGCCCCATGGGGGCATCTCTCTCAGTCCTCCCCTTCCAGGTGATGGCAGGGCTGTCCAGGGAGACCAAGAGCTGCCTGAGACCACACAGGGAGTGAGGGCATCAGAAGGTGCTAGGGTTCAGGTCTCCTAAGCCCCAACTTGGCTCCTGCCAACCTATCACCAGGTAGGCCTCCTGAGATCCAGTTCCTGAGCCCATTTCCCTGGAGAGAGGCACAATTCCACGTGGGGGAGGGGACGCCCCTATACCTGCACCAGATCCATGCCCACGAACCACAGGAAGTTTTGGTGGCGTGCCAGCTGCCGGAGGTACTGGCCCAAGGTGATGCTGCCTGCTTCCTCGCCACCGAATAGCAGCTCCTCTCTGCACAGACTATGGAGCAGAGGACAGCTGAGCACTGCGGGGCCAGGCAGACACAGCCCCCACCCCAGGGCAGCCACCCGTCAGCCAGGGCACCCAGCCCCGGAGTCGGACTCAGAACCTGGACAGGCAGAGTGGCCACTCACCCGCCATCCCCGGCCAGCGCTGAGCACCCCGCGTCCCTCCTGGCTGCCTCCACCCGCCGCCTCAGCAGTTGTGTAGCCCCCAGAAAGCCCAGCGCAGAGCCAGCAGCCAGTGCCACGCAGAAGGTGCGGAAGGAAGAGAAGTCCTCCTTGTTCCAAAAGGCATAGGAGGCAAAGACCGACAGGGAGCCCGCAGCGCTGAAGAGGGAGCAGTAGAAGTTGAGGTGGGTGCGGTCGTGGGCCGAGAGGGCCAGGTCGGCCAGCAAAGCATGGTGCTGCAGGTCCACGAGCGTCAGGAAGCCATCATAGACGCACAGGCACAGCAGGAACTGCAGGCCAGCGGGGGCCCAGGGCACCCAGAATGCCAGGAACGAGAGCGCCAGCAGGGGCCCATGCCAGCCCAGTGCCCGTACCCGGGCCAGTACCACGGCCCATGAGGAGAGCCCGGCGCCTGACCTGCTGGGGAAAGGAGGTGTTGGGAGACGCCCTTTCGGCCTGGGCAGCCCCATTCCACTGCCCAGGCCCCAGTCGGGGATGGAGTCCTGGAGTGTGGGAGTCACTCCAAGGTGCACCACGTCCCCAGCCCAGCGGCACAGCTTAGCAGCGGGTGCACCTGCTCCTCTGCCTCCACCCTCCCCCACTACGAGCCAGTCGGGTGCCAGCCCAGGAGGTGGAGGCCACTGCTCAGGGACAGCGATGGGCCAGGCGGGGAGGGTAAGGGAGCCTGCCAGAGGCGGCAGAAGGTGTTTGTTGCTACATCCTGAGAAGCCTGACAAACCCAGCTGGGGTCACTCAAGGCCGCTTCTTCCACCTGGACAGCACTGGCCCAGCCCTCGAAGGGAGGGCTCCACACCTAACACCAAACTGGCCTCCTAACCTCCCCAACCCCAAGCACAGGCAGCTGTCCTCCAGCTCTGCAGCGTGGGGCTGGAGCCGTTACGAGCCCCAAGACACAGACCGAGGCTGGGAGCTGAGGAACTGGCGGTCACTGAGCCAGCCGAAGAGAGGGTCGTTGAGGCTGTTCCAGAGGAGAAACACCGTCTGCGGGGCGGAGGGAGACAGGCGGGTGGGCTGCGGGCAGCCTCTACCGGGCCCGCACCCCACGCTCACCTCCGCTCGGATACAGGGGATCCCCACCCATGTCAGCAACCCCCTTCCAGCCACTGCACCCTCCAGACTCCCCCAGCAGGCCCAGCCGGCAAGTGTATCCAGCTGACCAGTGAGCACATGAGGCGCCATTATATTACACTCCACATAAACACACAGAGCAGTGAGCACATGAGACAGTAGCCAGGACAGCTGGTCTAATGTCCCCGGGCGGGAGTCACCGAGGCCTCCACCAGCCTTTCTGCTCAGTCACAGTGGACAACCTGGCCTGCCCAGGCCCCTGACTGGGTCGGACCCAGCACCAGCCACACGCCCGGCACCCTCCGTCTACCTCTCCAACCCAGAAGGCCGTTTTGTTGATCTTGTACACTGAGACGAAGGTGTCCACATAGTAAAGAAGGAACACGTTGTGCAGGACAGAGGTGAAGAGGGCCAGGGAGCCATAGACCATGGCCGTGGGCAGGGCCACCAGCCAGGCCTGGGGCCGGCCCAGCCCCATGGCAACTAGCCCTGCTCAGCCCCGGGAGCACCAAGGAGGGCTCTCAGCCACAGGCAGCCTTGCCATCCTTGTCCCTGACGAGGAAGGAGCCCGTCAGCAGGAGGGACCAGAGCCCGCAATGCGCCCAGCCCCAGTCCTCGGAATCCTTTCAGCACTCATTTCCACCGGGAGAGAGCCTGTACCTAAAACAAAACAAGAAAATCATCAATGAAGTACAGCAAGAACAACGCCAAGCAAGAGACCAGCAGTCTGGGAGGCACCAGAGAGAGCCGATGGGGGCTGCGGGAGCGACCTCGGGCAACGAGGCCCAGTGCCAGGCCGACGCTCAGCAGCCTCTCGTACCCACGCTGCGCCACTTTCGGGCTGGTGTGGTAACCTTGGCTTGGTATGCAGTGTACACATAGTGTAAATGCGAGAAAATTAACCCAAGCTCATTTTTTTCCTGTAAAAGGCAAAAGGAGAAGATTCCTGCAAAAGAACATAAGGATTAAATGGGGGGGGGGCGGTGGAGAAGGTTAAAAAAAATTAAGAAATGTCATGTACATGTACCAACTCCCCAGGATGAATGCAGTCATTAAACATGTACCAATAAAATAAACAAATATTTCCAAAAAGGATTCAATTGGGAGGGAGTCTGGGAGGGGGAGGGAAGGAGATTAAAAATAAGCTATATCACATACACGCAGCAACTCCCCAACACCACTGTGAGATGCGTGGACTGCACACATGTACTAATAAATGAAACAAAAAATTTAAGAAAGGACTCAACGAGGTAGCTCACAGTAAGTGCGCAATAAATGGGTATTGGTGGTATCATTATCATCTTTACAAAATCCCTACAAAGCCATGCATGCATGACTATAATCCCTGCACTCAGGAGGCCAGGGCACGGAGATTGCAAGTTCAAGGCCATCTAGGGCTACATCATGAGTTCAAAACCATCCCGGACTATGTAGCAGATCCTGTCTCAAAAAAAAAAAAAAAAAAAAAAAACCTACCAAGTTTATAGCACTATTTTGATTTTATAGGACAGTGACCCCAAGTTCAGAGATACTGAGGTGCAGAGTAACTGACCAAGCAACAGATATGAAACCAGGCCTGTCAACACCAACGCATTTCCTCCCACTTGACCTCCCAAATCAGACTCCCGGGCACTGCTGGGAAGACGAGAGCCCGGTGACCTCTGCTCCATGACAAGAGAGATACGATGTGATAAGAACCCACAACTGCCCACGCACTTTGACCCCAGAAATTCCACCTCAAGGAACCAACCCCAAAGAAGCACGCGCAGAGGTGTCCACACAGCAACATTTACAAGCAGCAAAAGCCACACACGGCCCAAGAACGCAGCAAAGGCGCTGCCTCAGCAAGCGCTACTCTCCGGAAAGGGTCTGTACAGGGAAACAGGACAGAGGCTCAACACACACGAAGTGGAAAGGGACAGCAGGGCCCAGTGGTGCAGCTTAGTGTGCAGGTCTTGCCTGTGGGTGGGTGTAGGGACAGAGACAGAGACAGAGAGACAGACAGAGACAAAGACAGGGACCAAAGTACAAATGTCTTGTGCACAGACTGGTAACTAGGCTGACCAGGAGTGGGAAAGGAAGCAGCGTTTCTCGCTGTAACATGTGTAAGTCACTTGGTAGAACGTCCGTTCTGTTCTGACTCAGGCAGTATGAGGAAGGACTTGGGGTCACTGTCCTATAAAATCAAAATAGTGCTATAAACTTTGTAGGATTTTTTTTTTTTTTTTTTGAGACAGGATCTGCTACATAGTCCAGGATGGTTTTGAACTCACGATGTAGCCCCAGATGGCCTTGAACTTGCAATCTCCCTACCTTGGCCTCCTGAGTACAGGGATTAGAAGTTCTGCTTTTCTAACAAACTCCTGGGTGACGCTGATGTCCCCGGCCCATGACCGCACTTTAAGGAAGAAGTATTAAGCCTCTCGGTCTCTTTTTAATCTCAAAGCCACTGTCCTCTTTTTCACAAAACAATTCCCCTGCATACCTGTCTGACCGCCCCGCCAGAGAAACCACGGAGGCTTCCTCCTCTCGGACTCCCTGCCCTGGCCTGGAGTGGGTCCCCAAGAGATACGCTGAAGCCCGAATGGCCAGACCCGTGGACGCGACCACCTCTGGGCCCTGCGTCCGTGCAGCTGTCAGGTCACTGCGCAGTCACGCTGGGTCACACTGAGACAGGGAGGGCCTAGGACGCGCCCTCGTGAGCAGAAGGAAATGTGGACACAGAGGAAGGCGGCCTTGTGCAGATGAAAGCGGGAAGCCAGCTGACGCAACTATAAGCCAAGGAACGCCGGCAAGCACCAGCAGCTGGCCAGGGAAGGCAGGGTTCTGCCCCAGAGCATCCAGAGGAACACAGCCCTGCTCAGGCCTCCATCTCAGGCTTCAGCCCCTCCAACTGGTGTCATCTGTATGGCAGCCTGTGGAACCTGAGCGGCCCCTCAAAGAGCCGCGGTTCCTCTGACCCAACCTGCCATGCTCCCATGTCCACCTGCGCACCCGCTCGGGGCCCAGGCCTCATCCCAGCCCAGCAGCGCCCGCAGCGCTTCCTCAGGCCCGGCCCTGGCCCGGGGCTCACCAGAGCTTGCACGGCTGCACACCTGCCCCGCCACCACCGGACTCTCTCAGCCCAGCCAGCCTCCCTCCTCGTCCCCCACAGATGCGCCCTCCCCTCCTTCGGGGCTCCCGTCCCTGGGCAGCACCCCTTCAGAGCAAGCCCTCCACCACCCCGCCCCCAAGGGGCTGTGGGGCCATAAAGCACAGCGCAGCCTCTGTTACTCGGTAACTCAGGTCACTCTCTGACCCCCTCAGTGCCTCTCAGGACCCCCCACTTAATTCCACAGCCTTTGTCAAAAGGGAATGAAGCCAGCCAACCTCACCCAGATGCCCTTGACCTGCCCTTGTCACTGAGGAGGAAGAGCCCACAAAAAAGCCTGCCTCAGCCTCCACCAGCCAGCTCCGTGCAATCACCCTGGGCCAAGGATGGAAGAAGACACAGTGCGGTGAGGTGGAAATGCGTGACTTTAACCTAGGTTCAAATCCCACCTGCGTTTCCTACAAGCAGTGTCACCTCGGGTAAGTCCCCTACCCCCGCGGAGCCTTGTTTCCTCATCTGCAAAGTGCTGGACCCCCAGGCGCATGCAGAGGGTGGAACCCAGGCTCCGTGCCTGTCACACAGAAGACGCTCAGAAACTGGCTTTTTCAGAACGCAGAAAGTACCAGACACGCCCTCCCCACGGGCCGGGCAGGAGGCAAAACTGCTTGTTGGGGGAAGGGCCCTGCAGAGCAGCCAGAGGTGCTGCATGCGCCCTCCCTCCCAGCTTCCGCCCCTCAGCAAAAGCCTTCTCCCGCGGCTCCCCAACCTCCCCCCACCCCACGGAGAACAATGGGCCTGTCTCTCCCAGGGAAGAACAGCGAGGCGCTGCACCAGCCTGCTCCTGCTCGCACGAGCGGGATGCCAGGGCCTGCAGCCTGCCACCAGCTCCGCTGCCCACTCCGCACCCTGCACAAGGGCCTGTCAGAGGCCCCACAGCCCACCCTTCCCCTGGAACAGTCCCAGTTAGTGGCCTTGGGGCAGCCACTCCCGCTGCCTGCGCCGGTGCGGTTGTTCACGCAAAGGGAGTATGAAGCACAGTGCCCAGCTCGCGGGAACCTCTCAAGAGATATTTTCTCTCAGATCTCTGAAACCTGGTTTCATATTTTTTTTGAGGTGGGGAGAAGAGACGAATTTATTTCAGCCGGAGTATACTGCCAAAGAGGACAGTGGGTGAGTTTCCAAGAAAGAAAATGTTTCAGGGGCTGGGGATTTAGCTCAGTGGCACAGCGCCTGCCTGGCAAGTGCAAGGTTGTGAGTTTGATTCCTGGTACCGAGAAAAAAAAAAAAAAAAAAAGAAAATGTTTCAGTCTTTGCCGATCAGACCCCTCTGGCAAGTGCATGACTGACTGTTTTGCATACCCTGCACCTGCACTGCGCCTCTTGTCTGCTGGAACATCCTAGCCCTTTTCATTTGTCAGCCCCTCAATGTTTTTGTTTTTTGGGTTTTTGTTTTGTTTTGTTTTTTCTCTTTTTGAGACAGGGTCTTGCTATGCAGTTCAGGCTGGCCTTGAGCTCAGTTTGCAGCCCAGGCTGGTCTCAAACTCACAATGATCCTCCTGCCTCAGCCTCCAGAAGTGCTGGAATTACAGGTGTGCGCCACCATGCCTGGCTCCAAATGCTTTTTAAAATGCCACTGCCATGCTTCTGTTTATGCTGTTCCTCCCATGAGACACCCAGATGCAACTCCACATGACCTCCAGGCATTTGGGGTATCTCTAGCTTGCACATCTCTCCTGAGGGCATACGGTCTGCTCTTCCTTCCACCCACCCCCACTCTGCAGAAAAGAAATCAGGCACTAGAGCCAAGATTCAAAACAGATATTGGCCCAGCCTGCACACCTGTAATCCCAGCACTCGGGAGGCTGAGGCAGGAGGATTGTTGTGAGTTCGAGACCAGCCTGGGCTACAAAGTGAGCTCAAGGCCAGCCTGAGCTACACAGTGAGACCCTGTCTCAAAAAGATTAAAAAAAAAAGAGGCTGGGGATTTAGCTCAGCGGCACAGCGCCTGCCTGGCAAGCACAAGGTCGTGAATTCTATCCTCAATACCGGAAACAAAACAAAACAAAAAAGATATTGGCCCAAGTGTGGTGCTGCACGCCTGTCACCCCAGCACTCAGGAGGCTGAGACAGGAGGATCACTGAGTTCAAGGACAGCCTGGACTACATAGCAAGACTGCCTGGGAAACCAAAAAGAGAGCTGGACGTGGTGGCACATGCCTGTAATCCCAGCACTCGGGAGGCTGAGGCAGGAGACGATCCTTGCAAGTTCAAGACCATCCTGGGCTACAAAGTGAGCTCAAGGCCACCCTGAACTGCATAATGAGACCCTGTCTCAAAAACAAAACAAAACAAACAAAAAGATATCAGCCTGAACTACATAGGGAGACCCTGTCCCCAAAAAAGAAAGAAAAGCAACTCCATTCCCTGCTTGTCCTCAGGGTATCAAATGAGCACAGGAAAGTTCCAGGTATACCGCAAAAGGAATTAGCTGTGCCATTTTGTCAACTAGTGTCTGACTTCTCAACTGTTTGCTGTGTCCCGTTTCACACTGTAGAGCTCCTTCCCGCCCAGTCTCCCCACAAGGCAAAAACCCTAGGGGTTTTGCTGGAGGGCTCCAACCCTCTATCCCATCCCCCTCAGCTGGAAAAGGACCCTTCCCCTCACTGGATACTACAGCGGCAGGGCCGGTCAACAGCTTCACCCGGAACCACTGGCTCCTTCCGAGCCACGAAGGGGTTTGGGATCAGTCCAGACCTCTTTACTCCAGGTCCTGGATCTCCATCCATCTGCAGGTGAGAATCACCTGAGCAGCTGAAGTCTAAGAGCTAGGGCAACCCCAGGACTCACTCCAGACCTCTAAAATCAAAAGCGGGCAGCCCCCTATCTTCGCCCCTTTGGCTCCCCAAGTGCTTCTACGGACCACCAGGGTTAAGAGCCATTGTATCAATGAATGGGCCCCCGCCTGACCCTTGCTTCCGGGGACCCAAGCTCAAGGATTGGATTCGTTGCAGCCCCCGTCCTCTCCCTCGGGGGGTCCTCTGGCAAGGATTCCGCCCTTGCTCCCGCCTCACCCCACAAGTGATCCACAACCTGATCCACAACCTGACCACCTCCAGGACCGCCGCACACAGTGCCCCCGACACCCAGGGCGGAAGGTATCCCCGCCCCCGTGAGTTTGTAGTCTGCGTCAGATAGGCCCCTAATCCGGCCCCGCCTGCCCCTGAGCCCAGTCCGCGGTCCAGCCTCTCACCGAAATCCTGGCAGGAGAAGCCTAATTGCGCGGCTGCCGAGAGCCAGGTGCAAGCCAGTGCGCCTGCGCGCGCACCCCCCCCACACCCGGGCTCCCCCCAGCGTTCCCTACTCCCCGCCCGGCGATTGGCTCCAGCAAGTGACCGCGCCTGAGGCAATTGCCGCCATGTTTGTCACGGGCGTTTGCCCTCACACCCATCACCACCAAAAAAAAGCTGACGCTGGCGACAATAGCCAATAGAAGCAGGTGGCCTGGATTCCTCTCCTGCTCATCCCTTTTTCTCCTCCACCAAGGCTAAATGTCATTTCAGGTCACGTCAACAGGTTTCTTTTCTGGGCACTCCCCTTCCTCCCCTGTCCTTACTTGTCTAATTCGGAGGACAGAAGACCTCGACTCCTTCCTTTCTTGGGGTCTGCCTGGACGCACAGCTGAGACAGATAGGGAGGTGGCAACAGCACGACCTGGGACTTGCTGGGGCTGGACTGTGAGCCCCTCTGGACGTGGGTCCAGACCTCAGGAGCCAAGGCTGGGGAGCGGAGACAAAGGCTGTCTGCTTGGAACCACAGCTATGCAGCCTAAGCTCCGTATTCACAGTGATGACACAGCTGACATGGTGACACATGCCTGCCATTCCAGCACTTGGAGGCTGCAACAGGAGGATCGAGAGCTCCAGGTCAGCTTGGGCTACAGTGCCTGTTCAAGGCTAGCCTGAACTGCATAGTGAGACCCTGTCTCAAAATAATAATAATTAATGAGGACTGAGCTCTTATGCTGTGCCATGTAGAACTAAAAATTCTGTGTCTTTTCTTATTGAGTCCTCACATTATACTGAGAAGTAGGTGCTATGATTCCCACTTTACAGATGAGAAAACTGAGGTTCAGACAGATTCAGTGACTTCCTCAAAACAAGAAAGAGACCCACACAAGCTGGTCTTTTTTTTTTTTTTTTTTTTAAATCTTTTTGAGACAGGGTCTCGCTCTGCAGTTCAGGCTGGCCCTGAGCTCACTTTGTAGCCCAGGCTGGTCTCGAACTC